TTAACTTTTTGAAATAAGTTTTCAAAATCCAACACCTAAATGAACCCCACAACCTAAAGACAAAATCAATTTTCAAATTAACCATTTCACTAATCTCGGAGGCTAAACACTTGATTTCAATTGATATCAATTGATGATGAGAGATCGACAACGAGGTAGCAAATTAAGAGAGATGTAAAGGAGAATGAAAGAGCTATTAGATGAAGATAGAGAGAGCGAAATAGATTAGAGAGAGCGAAATAGATTACTAGGTCAAGGATGAAAAATGGTCGAAGAAACTGAATGACGTTTTGCATATGACGATGGTTGAGAGATAATAGTTCGTTCATTTGTGGATACATGAATATGGGTGGGTGAATTAGTTTTGGCTAAATGTGAAAAGAAGATATTAATTAACCCTTTTAGCCTTAATTAATCTTTAGTTACAATGGGTTAAGGTGGGTTAATATTTAATCGGCTAAAAAATTAAACTACCAACATCCTCCGTTAGATTAAGTCTATCACATGTATTTTTCATTGCAATGTACATATTTTCCATTATCTCTTATGACAAAAAAAAAAAAAAATGGATGGATTTAATTTCAAAACTTACAAAGTTTATGGACCTCTAGAACTAATAAAAAAGTTTCAAGACTCAATTTTAAATGAATTATAGTTCAGAGTTGCCCTAGACCTTTTTAGCCGTAAATTATCGTATAAGTACTTTTTCAAAACATGAAAATTATTATGGAGAATTATAAGAACTATCGTTCACTTTTTTTTTTTGGTTAAATTGATGATTAGATTAATGAAGCTAGCAGGCAGGCAGAAAAAAATAGGTTACAACTAAGTTAAAAAAAAAAAAAACAAAAATTATAGACCTATAAAGACTCGATTTAGCCCAAGAGTCATTTTTTTCCTAATTGATGAAACATGAATGCCAAAGGCTCTGTTTATTTTATTTGAAATATTTTCCTATGCACAACTTTGTTTGAAAATGGTTGAAAACATAATTTTCAATAAGTGGAGATAAAAAAAAAAAAAAAAATTCTAGGTCCCGCCAAAATCATAATAATAATAATAAAATAACAGAAAACTAAGATGGTTTTATTTTTTATTAGTTTAAGATGTAATCATACAAATCATAAAATTTAAGTACGAAAATCTAATGAGGAAAATATAATTTAGCATTTGCATTTGCAAATGACTTCGTGGATGTCAGTGTCATTATGCCCTTTTCCATAAGGAAGTAAACCCGTCTCATCAGTTGTGGAAGAAACCAAATGCGTAGCGTTTCATTTTACACAGCTGGCATTTTGGCTTTTGTTACGTTTTATTTGCACTTTGTCAGTTTCTGAACTTTTTGTCTATTTATCCATTTTCAGGCCTTGAAAGAATAAGCTTCGTGGACAGTTTTGCAGAAATGACCTTAACAGCAGGAAAGAAAGGTACAATACGGAAGTTTATCTGTATGTTTACAAGCAGAAAAAAATAATTTTAAAACCTACCCAGTACCGATGAATTAAACAAACCATAAGCCAAAAGCACGAAATATGCTCATTGGGCAAGCTTGCACACAATTGCACGTGCATTAGCAAACGGAACATGCAATACGCGCGTAGAAATGGATTCATTATATCCTTCTTTCGAGTCAAGAACTTTCACTTTCATCTTGTACCCATCATCCCATATGTCCTAATTAATTAAGTGGACTGGTCATCATCAGATATATCGGCATGGTAACATCACATTCATTATTTTCGATGAGTAATAAATTATATATTGAAATATTATTTAACAATTTAAATTTTTGAATGAGATGATCTTTTTTTATAAGTATCGTAACTTTGATTATCAAATTATCGTTAATTCGAATCCTATCATCCTTATTTTCTTTTTTAATTAATTAAGCATAAAATAGTGTGAGCATGTGTAAGTTTCAAACTCAAAGAGTATTCACTTAAGAAGATTTGTTAAAAAATAATATAAATCATACCTCGAGAGCTTTATCTAACGAACTTAAATTTTTGAATGAAATAATCTTTTGATTCTGATCACTAATTACAATTCCATAGATGAATGAAATATAATAAACACAGAGGTCTTCAATTCGAGGGGATGCTCCAACTATTTCTACTAGCTCTTCCGATGTTTAAACTCTAGGGGAGGGGCAAGGTTTGGAAAATTGGAGGATCATCACCTCCCATTGTATAGTTGAGAGCCAGTCGAAAGAAAAATAAATAAATAAATAAGCACTCAAGTATTGATATATAAATGTGTTAATGATCATCTCATCCAAAATTTAAATTGTTATGTAAGATTTCAAAATATGATTTATATTATTTTTTAATAAAATACAAGCATACAATTTAATCAAAACTACATCATCTTTGAAATTAAATATTTTAATCCATTTTATTTTTGCTAAAATATTTAAATCCATTTTACTTCAAATGCATGCGGGCATGCATGCTTAATCTAGTAACATGAACTATTTGCTGATCCATTTGATATCTTATGCATATCATGAAGTAAAACGCCCTTAAAGGATGGATAGTTTAAAAATTAATCCATTTTGAAGCTAGATGAATTAAGGTGTGCCCATTGAAAAAAAAAAAAAAAGAAGAAGCTTGATTGGAAGTCCGAGCTTGAGCACATAACTCAGGTGGCCATGATAATATGTTGGCATGTATTCATGGCCGACCCATCATGTGGGTTTTCCTTATCTTTCACATGAAGGGTTTACACACATTAAACATGTGAGGAAATAAAATGTGAGGCTCAAAAGTTAGGTTTTCCTCGTGTGATATAAGGCAACATTGAAAGCTCGGCATCAATTATTTGACGTCCATTATCATCTTTCCTGTAAATGGCACTGCAAAAACAGAGGAAATGTGGCTTGATTTTACATCTAAAACTCTTAATTTGGAAAAGAGTTTGTTGCTAAAGTTAAGGGTTGGTACCCTGTAAATGCAAACTCTTAATAAAGCGAGTACGATTGTCATCACTTGACCTAACTTTTGTTCGTTCGTCTTTTAAAAAGATCCAAAGACTTTTCTAGAGAAGCACATGCTAAAATTGCCTAGTGGTGGAGTTTAGAGCTATTACAGCTAATGAAGAAAGAGTTGAAATCTGAACATGTAAAATTAAGGGAAAAAAAATTAAATAATCAAAGAATATAAAACAAATCCATTAATCTAACTCATATACACGTTTAATATTGCTATCAATTTTGCATGGCCCTGCTATATGATCGAATACGAGTTATGGAAAATTAGCTTAGCAGAAGTTTTTGGTTGTAAAAAAAATTGTTAGTCATATATATATATATATATATTGTGTTGTATTATGTTATATCCAATATGAAAGAAATTGAGTGTTTGGTTATAAATATACGGATTTGAGTTAATTTTTTAGATTGAAAATTACTAATATCATCCAACAAATTGGAATTTAATATCAAATTTAACGATGATAAAGTGATGACAAAAGTGAAGTGGCTTTGCTGTAACATGTTAGACAAATGGGTTGGGAATTTATAAAGAGCATGTGAGGACTTCCTTGCTTTCGTTGCAAGAGTTAGGCCAATGTCGTTCGTCAATTTTGCATGGGCATGCAACAAAATGGACAAGTATGAATCGAAAGCCAGGATGAGATTTTCTAAAAATAGTTTTTTATGTAGTAGATCGTTACGTGTCCATTTTTTACTCAAATAAAGTTAAATATAGATCGAGATATAAGAAAGAAGATTAATACATAGATGGGCTCATTCAGATGAAATTAGTTTGCTGGAATCTTGGATATCCTTTGATTAATTCATTGAGTGACTTTTTCCCCCTATTCTTTCCTTCTTTTTTCACAATCAATATTAAAAAATTATTTAAATCCAAAAAATTAAATTATTGAATAAAATTCTGGAATAAGATTTTTATTTGGGTATTATATTAGTCTTTAACACACATCCTTAAATGAAAACTCTTTAACTTAAAACTTATATAAACCTACCATTACTTTATAGTTAATTGTTTAATTTTAATTAAATAAAAAGTGATAAAAAAAACCCTTTTAACTCAAAAATTTAAATTATTAACTAAATGCTAGAATATTTATATTACTCTTTTACAAAAAAAACAATCACTAAGCGAATTTCTTAATAATTAGTCATCAATAGACCCCTTTTTCATTTATTTATACTCTCCACAGGTCAAGCTCTATACATGTATTGAAATCTTAAATTGTTGCTCTATCTAAATTTTAGTTTTAAAAGTGTTATGATGTAACCGTTATATTTCTATTACAAGGTACTATAAAATAATCCTTTTTTTTTTTTTTCATAAACATATGAACTTTCTCTCGCTCTTCAAATTAATATAACTTTTTTGAGAAATAAAAATAGACTAAACTTTATTAAAAAATAATATACATCATATTTTGACGTCTTATCTAATAGTTTAAATTTTTTGAGTTAAAATCTTTTTTTTTAAATGATATCGGAGCCTTAATGATCAATATCATCCACATTTATCTTCTAATTAATTAAACATAAGGTGGTGTAGGTATGTATAAGTTTCAAATCTAAATAATTTTTTTAGGATCTCATCTACTTGTTTAAATTTTTAGGTTGAGTTGGTTTATCTATAAAATAACAACCATCTCAAAGGTATTTTAGTGAGGGTTTTATTAATTATATGTACACCACAACAATATTGGTTTTTACTCAAAGGAAATGTCCAAGCCATATATTTGTACGTGTTCCTCGACCTAATTAACATGAAACAAGATAAACAAAGGCTGTCAATATCATTTGCCATGAATTATATATTTTTATATAAGCGGATGAAAGGTACATGTAACATACTATATATATTTATATTTTTATATATTACAATCCGTAGATGCATAATAAGTTTTAGCTTATAGTACCAAAGAGTGGCAACTATCGACAAACCTAATAATATTGGTCCAAAATAGGATCATATGAACCATAGCAGAGATGTTCACACACACACATATATATATATTTAATCGCCATTAAGAAATTGCATGGACCAAAGATCCTCCATGCTCCAATAGTTTTCGTTCAATTCTTGATGTATATTCCCTTCAGAAAAAGCTTCCACATTTCCTTGGTAGCAGGGTTGACAATAAGTCTCCATTAGGTCGGCTGTGTTGGAAACTTGGCTAGTACTCCCATGTTCATTAGTGTCAGAACTCTGCGTTGCAAATGTTTCAGCTTGCTTAATCTGCTTCTGGATTCTAGTTCTCCAGTAATTCTTTATTTCGTTGTCAGTCCTCCCTGGAAGATGCTTTGCAATTTTCGACCACCTGGATGTGCCACAAACTTTTAGAGAAAAGATGACCATTAATTCTTTCCTTCTGGTCATTTCTTTTATGATATGCATATGATTTATGTTTCAGGAAAGAATTTGAAAAACAAAGCTATAGAAATTACCACAAGTGTGAAGATGAAATGTTTCTAGAAATTGGCTTACTACTGTTACAGTACATATTCCATATTGAGAAGGAATCACTTATTATAAAACTTAAGGTTTTTTTAATGGAATTTAATCTTAATTATCTAATTCTATCTGGTATTAAAGCTTTAAAAAGACCTAAGGTTCAATAAAAATACTAGAGCCCAAGCTTAAGTCTTTTAGATAGAACTCAATATCAACTATCTAACTCTATAACTAGTAAATAAACCAATTAAAGAATGTTAAAGTTATTAAAAAAAACACTAAACATATAAGGGGTTAAATTTAACATAAACAAAAAGTTAAGGCAAGATGTTCAAGCAGTATCAGTAATTGGAATTAAGCTGTAATGCATGACTATGGCAATAATTATCCACTAGCTAGGTAAAAAAATAATAATAATAATAAATAAATAAATTCAAACATCTTAAGAAAAATCAATTCAAAAAAATATATTATTATTATTATTATTATTAGAAAATAATATAAATCATATTTTGAAAATTCATATCCTAAGTTAAACTTTAGGTTGAAATAATTATTTCACACCTACATAACTTTTTAGATTTATTAAAAGTAATCTTGAGTACCAATATTTTCTTTGAGGTACAGGGTACCCGTCTGATAAAACAATGGTGATTTTTGTAAGATGCGTCAACAACAAAAATTCACCAGAGCTTTTCTATGTGAGAAGTATGCCTAGTCATTGTGGACTTTACTAGTCCAGTACGCAGACGGCAATCTAAAACTATTGACACGACCATAAGGAGATACCAAATACGTTTTTATTCACAGGGATAAGATGCATCATCTCATAATTAAACCATGATAACTTTGTGAGGTCCCCCCCCCCCCCCCCCCCCCCCCCCCCCCATCCATAAATTAAAAATATAGAGATATCATATGAAAATATATACGGATTTTGTATGTAAATAGTTACTCAGTCACATGTATTTTAAATGTTTTAGATTTTACAGGATGATTAACTATCGAGGACGGAAATTACAGTGGAGGAAATTCCCGCTACACATTTCCAAAAAAGTGGTTTTAACAATCACACATGTGCAGTAAATATATATAAACCAAACAATAATAAAAAAAAGAGTTATAACAATATGGTTAATGTCTACGTCAATCAATTAAAAACAGCCTTTCTTTCTTGAAAACGGCCGGAAGCGCTTCCATGTTGCCAATTCTGTATAGATTGCGATCACGATGCCCACATGGAGCCAAGATCAAAATCTAGATGTGATATTAGGTTCTGATCTATTTTTAGAATCCTTTCAGGAATTTGATCTTAATTACTCTCTGTGGAAAAGACTCCTTTTTGTGTGGTTGTGTTGAAGGAAAAAAAAAGGTTTTCTTCTTTGTAGTAATACTCAACAAAGTACTGTACAACGAAAATCAAGGTTTTTAATTAAAGTAAGAATATGAAAATAAAATTCGTACAATGTAGTGGGGATCCATCATCCTTCATGCATCTATCCCCCAGTTAGAGCTCAAGCAGCCCCAATCTCCTTGTACTTTTGGTGACCATTTTTTTCCTATTTTTATGAAAAAAAACTTCGTGATAATCTTAGGAGAAATTAGTTATTTCCCATTAAAAATATTATTGTTGTTGTTTTGGGGTTAGGGATGTGATTCATTTGATGAAGATAAAATATCGGGTCTTCTTGACCTTGGAGCGGCGATTAATTTGATGATTTACAATAAATATGTAGCAGAGGAAGGATATATTCATGAACAAGTGAAGTGCCCCGGCTCCATCTTGTCATATAACACTTAAAATTCGAGAAAGTATTCAAAAAGCACCAAATTATTTTTTATTGAATTCGCAAAAGTGAAATGAATTGGTGGTTGTTGTTTTTTGGTTTTTGTTTTTCTTTTTTGTGGCCATGAAAAATTCAAAGAGCTCAAATTTTGCCAGCCAGAAGTTCTAAAACCCCACGTGCTGCTATATTGAATCGCAATCTTTATTTCTCTCCTCATGAACGCTAAGTCTGTACGAATAAACTAGGGACTTCAAGTACCGCTAAGAGAACAGAGATTGAATCTCTTCTTCGTCTTCCAAAGTCGATCGACAAAGATAAAATGCAATACGTACATTGAAACATTTTTTTGATTGCTTGAGCAAGGTAAGAAAGGAATATGTGCAATAATTATGACACGAAGCTCACCTGTTTCCCCACTTAGCATGCAGTTCCATGATTAAGAGCTGTTCTTCAGGTGTAATATTCCCTCTTCGAAGGTCGGGCCGCAAGTAGTTGAGCCAACGGAGTCTGCAACTCTTTCCCGTACGTTTCAGACCTACCAAGGTGATCAAACAAAAATATCGTTATTTTTGTTACTAGCTCAGCAAAACAACTTAAATGTTGTAATATTCATAAAACAAATATAATAACTTGAACTTGAAATGATATTAGAAATGGTGCAACGTACTCATATAAGTTTATTTTTGTTGGGACTATCTTATTATGGTTCCTTATGGTACAGTTTTTCCAGTTACAAACATTTGCAAATTCATCGTTGTGCTCCTCTCTATTTCGTACGTACTGCCCCTATTTTTGTTTGGTTTTTTGGTTCTTTTTGCATCAGCAGCTGTCTCTCTTCCTTAAAATTAAATCTCTGGTGTCTTTTTAGATAGCCGTATTCTTTTTTCCTATACTCTTGTGTAATTTAATTTAGTACTCTTAATAAAATTATGATCTCATTTTCGCAGGGGAAAAAACCCAGAGATAGAAGCAATGGTGTAACAGATCATTACCTGCAGCTTTAGCAAGCGAGTTCCAAACACCTTCACCGTGGTTCGCGATGTAGTTGGTTAAGATCAAGTCTTCTTCAAGGGTCCATGGCCCTTTTCTCACTTCAACATCCTGAGAATTGCATGGCGCTTTATCCATTCTTTTTTCTTGGAGAGAGAGAGAGAGAAGGGGGAGAGGAGGGAAAAGGAGATAATTGAAAGATTCTTATCAATAATGAGATAACGCGAGTTAACGCTATGGGTTTTTATAGAGACAATCTATATTACATTAGCTAGTAATTGACGTTAATCTGGGTTAGAGTAGAGAGCATTTGACCTAACTATGTTCTTAATAGGAAATGCATGCTTACATATAAACAAAATATCTGCATGCATGCATGACCACAATTTAATTATTTCTTAGAAAGTAAATAAATAAACAGTCTTTTAAAGATATCGAACATCCAACAAATAACTTGTTGCCCATTAGTAAGTCAACTTTTCATCAATATACATCATTTAAATTCTGAATTCATATTTATTAAAAAATATATATATATTTCAAAATATAATTAATCATATTTTCAATACAAATTAAAAATTTATTAAAAATAAATAAATAAAATCTAACACCCACAATAAATTTATTCCATCAACTCCGAAGGTCAAGGCATGCCATTTATCTTTAAGAAAAGAAAAGAAAAAACCAGAAACGAAAACGATGAAGAATGAATTAATATATAAAATCTTGAACCAAAGGTATATTTACTTTGCACTTGCTACAACAAACCGGGTCCATCTTAAATTTTTGAGCTCACCGACTTAATAAAAGTTGGCAGATTTATCCTGACAGAGATACGATATTAGAATTCAAAATACACTCTTGTTACGCAGCTAGTTAGGTTCGTTAGAGCATACAACTCATTTAAATTCGAACTCTTTTTAATTTCTTATCTAAGAATTCTATTGTATTTATATATCTTGCCACATCAATAGAACATAATAAATTCTTCTACTCAATATTTTTTTCTTCTTAAACTTGATATCAAAGCCTACACGGCCAACACCTCTTTTGCTCTAGCAAATATCATTGTAATTGTCGTTACCAACATTCATGAGGCTTCCAAAAATAATAAGTTGAAACTTGTTTGTTTGGAGATATGAGTTAAACTAACTTTTTGAAATTGTTATCTAATATTAAAGGAATTAAGAATGTAAGATCAACATTGATTTAAAGATTCTAGGATAAGGAGTTGGTTATACTTTTGAAAAAATATCAATTACCCAAAAGCACCTTTTTTAAGAAAATGTACCATGTCCGATTTAATCCTAAAAGTTTATCTCCTAAAAATTTTTATTTTTGCCAAATTATTTCTCGAGTCAAAATTTCAAGTTTATTACTTAAGTCAAATTAATTTTTTTTTTATTTGTGGCTTTATATTGACCCGATCGTCGGATTCCGTCATCCGGTGTCTCGTTAATTCAACATTAGATATAGTTTAAGTCTCAACATAATAGATATATTGGAGAATGATCTAATTATTAAAACATGATTGATTTGAATTAACATTCATCCCTATTGGAAAGGAGGCTCATTAAAATTCCTTATAGCACCTTTTTTTTTTTTTTTTGTCCTTTTCATGTTTTATTTTGAGCTATGCGAGGAAAGCATTATCAATTTTCATTTTGTTTTTTCTTCTATGGCATCGTATTAAATTAACGTCGAGTCCTAAAATTTGAGAGTCTCATCAATTTAGCATTGGATTCAAATTAAAGTCATGACATGATCGACATGTCAAGGAATAACCTAATTAACTTAAAGTGTTTACAAGAAGTGTTAAATAAAATTGACCCGAATTGATTCCTTATTATATTTTTTTAGCATTTTCATTATTGCATAAAATATATCAAAACCATCCTTCGTCTCTAATAAATAAAAGACTCGTTTGTCCGATATCACAACCAATCAACAATATAAATTATAATAAATTTCACAACCAAAATATTTTTAGGTTTTCTAACACGAATATAATTAACATTATTACAAAATAATAACGTAAAATAATTTAAAAAGAGATAAGAAAAAAATAGAATGGTCACTCAATAGTTACAAAAATGCCTATTTAATTCTACTAGAAATTAAAAAAAATGCCCATAGAGCAAAGTTACCAAAATACCCCCATATGTTAAAATTACAAAACTACCCCTATAAGCTAAGGATGCTACTCGTTGACATGTTCGACCACCATCCGGTCATCCTTCATGTGCGTAGATTGATCCGTGGACCGGAGGAGGTTGTCGTTGGCTTGTTTTTGGTGGTCTTATCGGTCACGATCGACGAAGGAGAGAGATCGAACTTCTTGAAGATTCAACCGTGACTCCTCTCTTTTGATGAAGATTCGACCACAAAAAGGTAATGGAAGACCACTAAGTCTGCTCGGAGGACTACGAGGAGCATTTTTATGGTGGTTAAGAGGCTCAATTTGATCAAGTTTAGAATAAACGAGTAAATGGGTCATCCAATTCCTCTTATTTAATATTTGGTCAATTTTGATGAGATTTTGTATGATTTCAAGGGAAAAAAAAACTTATAGGAGAATGAGGAACACTTATTTAGTGGTGGGGGTTATTATTTTAGATGAAAAATGATGATAATAGCCGTTATACAAGCGAGTCAAATCATCAACCTTCTCTCCTTGATTTCTCCCTTTTCTAGCATCTTCTTTTTTCCTAACTAGTCGAGAAGGACAAATCTAGTGGTGAGGTATCAATTTATGATGGTGGATCGAATGAATTTTGATCGAAGGAAGATTGATTTAAGGGAAGAATACTAACGGGTTTGTGAGTTAACCCACATGTGACCTAGGTTGACGACGACTTTATAGGGGTTGTTTGGCATAACCTCTTTTTTCTTTTTTTGGTTTTCTTGTTCTCTTGGGATCCATGTCTTGTAAAGTTTTTTAGACGAGATGATGAATAGTGAACTTTCTATATTTTAGTTCCTTTATAGGTAAGAGTGATGGGTATTTTAGCTAAATTGTTTTGTGTACGGGAATAATTATGGAGGCTAAGTCGTTTTTTTGGTAGATAGGTGGGTGATGGAGGCTAAGATTTTTTTTTCTTGGTCGAAAGATGAGTAAAGGCTAGGGTTTTTTGGCTAAGGGAATAATCGTGAAGGCTAGGTTTTTTTTTTTATTATTATTATTATAGATAGATGGGTGATAAAGGCAATTTTTTTTTTTTGGTAAAAAGATGAGTGAAGGCTAGGGTTTTTTGGGTAGGGGAATAATTGTGGAGGCTTTCTAAAAGTGAAGTGAAAGGGTGTTTATATAGGGATTTTTTAGGGTTTGGGATAAAATTAATTTGGGTCCTTCTTTGGATTATTTTTTTCAATTTAAATGCATGTTCCATTGTTTTTTCTCCAATTAACTCTTAATTGAAATTGTTTAATCTCTATTTTCTTGATTTTTTTAATTCTATATTGATTAATTCTCAATCAAGTTTCTTAATTTTTATCCATTTCCAGTTACATCTCTATTTGAACATCACTTGGTTCTCACATTTGACATCATTTTAAATTGGATTCCAAATCATATTCTCTTTTTTCTCTTTTTTTTTTAATTAAAAATAGGGGAAATCTAAGAAATTAAAATCCTAAAAATTGATAAAAAAGCCTAAAAGTCATGCAAAATGCAAGATATGCAACATTCCAATTTGTTTTTTTTTTTGAATTTCTCTTTTTTTGTGTTTTTTTAATTTTAATTTGTATGAAAATAAACGGAGGGGTCAAAAATAGGTTATTACAGTTGCTCCCTCTTTACACTATTTATGAAGCAAAGTCAAATGAAAAGAATATTTTTCTATGACTTTCCACAATAAGCTTGTAAAGAAATTATTATTATTGTAAGATTGGTCCGGTTGTTCTAAATGAACTTCTATAAAAAAGTAAAATATGATGGCTTTATTGTGAAGGGTGGTCTCGCCTTGAAAAGTGAAATTCAATGACCTCATTATGAAGGACGGCTTGCTGTGAAATGTAAACTACAATAGTCTCATTATGAAGAGTGGTTTGCCCCGGAAAGTAAAATATGATGGTCGTTAGGCAACTCTGCTTAAAACAATGAACTAGATAGGCAATTCTACCTAAAATGAGAGATGATTGCTAAGCGACCCTACCTAGACAATGAAATAAATTAGACAAACCGTCCGGATATGAAAAATAATTGCTATGTAAACCTATCTTAAATGATGAACTAAATTAAGCAAACCCTACCCGGAAATGAGAGATGATCGCTAAGCAATCCTATCTAAAAATATGAACTAAATTAGCCAAGACCGCTCGCAAATAATGGATGATCACTAGGTAACTCTGCCTAAATGATGAATTAAGTTAGACAACTCTACCTGAATATGAGAACTATTGTTAGGCAACATGTAACTCTCATGAACTTATTTAACGTAGCTATACATACGAAAATAATTTTATCTACAGACTACTAAGTTGTAATTACGATTTTTGTGTCATGTTGTGTTTGGTGGGTTTAAGATGCTTGGGTATATATATATTGGTGTTTCGAAATTTAATTCCTAAGCTCAAATATCTTTTGAAATATCCATAATTATGTAAGCATAAATTATGTGTCATTTCTTTCATCGTTGTGGTGTGAAAATAGTTAAGGTTTATGAAAGTGTTTATAGGAATATCCTTTTTGGGAAATTAATTAGTCAGTATTTATTTTTTCATAATGTATATTTAAAATGACCATACAAGTGAAAAATATGTCCCATTTAAGAGGTATGGCCAAAAGTTTGGAGCTAAGTAAGGTTAGGAAGTTGGTTAATTTTAATCACCTTTTAATTTCTTTCTTTAGTAAGTGATGTGACATAAAATCTTCCACCATACTTCTAATTATACTTTCTCACTTAATTTTGAAAGGTTAAACACTCCAACTAGCCTCTCTTTTGTCTCCATCAATTGACCTCTCTTACCAAAAAAAAAAAAATTGGACACTTGGCATATTAAATATAAAAGAAATAATAGTTTAAAAGATGTGATATAAAAAAAATGGAAGGAAAGATTTAAGACTTGCCGTCTTTTTTGTCAAAAACATATCTTGCAAAGAAGGGAGAGAGAGTGATGGTTTTGTGAGGGAAGAAAGG